TAGCTCTGTGATTGGCTGGCGCCCGGTCCCAGGGGAGAGCGTCAATCGCCTGATAGTGACTGATAGACTCATCCAGACGTGACAGCCGCGTGCAGAATAAGCGGTTTGACGATGGATGGATGGGACGTTTGTGGGCGATCTGAGGAGCAGATGATTTAACACATGAGACTCCACGCATAATTTTAGCTCCGCTGCTAGCCCGTCTGTAATTCCGGCTGGTAGTCCGGCGTTTGCCCGGCTGTTAGCCCACCTCTTAGTCCGGCTGTTAGGCCGGCTGTTGGCCCGGCGTTAGCCCGGCTGTTAGCCCGGCTGTTAGTCCGGCTGTTAGCCCGGGCTGTTAGCCGGCTGTTAGCCCGGCTGTTAGCCCGGGTGTTAGTCCGGCTGTTAGTCCGGCTGTTAGCCCGGCTGTTACCCCGGCTGTTAGCCCGGCTGTTAGTCCGGCTGTTAGCCGGCTGTTAGCCCGGCTGTTAGCCCGGCTGTTAGCCCGGCTGTTAGTCCGGCTGTTAGTCCGGCTGTTAGTCCGGCTGTTAGCCCGGCTGTTAGTCCGGCTGTTAGCCCGGCTGTTAGCCCGGCTGTTAGCCCGGCTGTTAGTCCGGCTGTTAGCCCGGCTGTTAGCCCGGGTGTTAGCCCGGGTGTTAGCCCGGCTGTTAGCCCGGCTGTTAGCCCGGTCTGGAGCAGGCTAACAGCCGTGGGTTTAATTCAACCTGCCTTCGTGCAACCAAGTCCAAGCTAAATTAATCCAGGATAACTCTAATACCCCGGCTTCATCGCTTATCCTGGTTTCGTGCAATAGCCCTCAGGTCGGGACCAGTTGAGAACCAGCAGACGGGACCAGAACCGTTCCAGAGCTATTGCAATAGAGGGACAGTAGTAGTGATCCGGAACAGGTCCCATGAGGGATGGACGGAGACTCATCCGCTCAGAACAAACCACAAAGATGCTGACGTCTTCAGAAACCACTGATGACGCGACCAGGTGTATTTCGTGGGCGTGGTCTCACCTGCCGTTGCTGGTCCCGTCGGCGTCTGGAGCTCCAGCAGCAGCTTGTCTCTGACCCAGCTAAAGTCCTTAAGGGAGCGCAGGAAGCAGTCGAAGGCCCGCGGCCCGCGGTTCGGAAGGAGGTCCAGAAGCTTCAGACACTTGTGCCTGTTGGTGGGCTGAGACTCGACCTCCTCCACCTGAGCCTCCGACAGGATGTCCTCCTGGTACAGAAGCGGAACGATAGTGTCGCTGACCAGTAGCTGACCGGACAGTTCTAGCCGGTGCGTCCGAAGGAGAGCTCTGTGGTCCGGGTCCATTCTGAAGCGAGGTCGGCGGTTCGGGTTATGTAAATCACACCAGTTAGTTCATTTTTAAAATAACCCGATTATTCACCACAAATTTTGTTGGCCCGGGCGACCACTGTGTGTTCAGTGCTCTTGCGTCCGACTGGAAACATATCAACGGAACCAATGTTTTACTAGCTCAACCCGAACACGTGTCCCTTGAGATGTTTTCCACATCTGTAAATCTTCTAATTTAATTTTAGTCTTGAAATCGTTCAACTGAATTGATGAAAATGAATGAGCATACAGCAGTTAAATCTGTGACATATTACAGGAAAGGTATGTATGTTCCCCCCAGAAAAGCTCTACATTTGGTAAACAGCGTAAGTTAATTCATTTTGTATGAAACAAATGCTACATGACTGTTCTAATATATACCGAATTATTAACATCTTCCGACATGCTTATATTTAGAGACACCCTAAAACCTTAAGATTTTCAATGAAGTCTGGTCGAATCGGTTATTCTTAGTCTAACGTTAGCTAAGACAAACGTGAGCTAATGCTGAAACAAAAGACTTATTAATATGATGCCGACTTGTTCTTTGAAACATTTGCCGACTTCCCTGGAAGAACCAAAGGGTGCCATTTAAGTTCATATGCTTTCTACTTGATTACCTAGTTAAAGAAATAACCCAGTTAATCCTTCAACTGACCGATAAACCGATGGATTTCGGCTGACTATTTTCCATTCAGTATAAAAAGAAGATGCTTCTATAACCAGCCAACTATGCGCATGTGTTTATGACATTTATGAACATTCCTGTTTGATCAATGACAGCTTTGACACATAAAACCACTAAGACTAACCTAAAACAGAGGGCAAAACTAACACACCATTTGAATGAACGTCAAATGTCTTTGTCGGGATGAAGCACCATGAAACATTTTTATTGTACCAGGAAACACAGTGTGACACAATCAATAAATACTGTTCAACATTAAAGGGACTCAGCGGTGATCTGCTCGCGTTCTCAAACATGTACTCACGAACACGAGGGCCTCGTCCCTCGTTTACAACGGAGACATTTAAACGAGTCCTTTGTGTTTTGTTGGGAGTCACAGAAACAATCGGCGGAAACATTTGAAGAAGCTGCTGTCAAGCAATAAGGAATCCTTAAAAGATGTATTTGTTAAATGGAGTCTGGTTTACGGTCTTCACACAACAGGAGAGCGAATACAAGCAGCCGATTAACACGTTCATAATCTGCTGATTCATCATATACGTTTATTGGACTTGTTTGGATTAATGCTGCGTTCAGGGCCTATCCGTAAAAATACGTTTCTGAAATTCTGTCCTGTGGTCTGGTCCACAGTCCTAGAGGACGGAGGACTGTTTTCCTGAGATTTGATTGGTCCACAGTGCTGCTGGTCTCCACCCAGTGAGGACAAGGTCCACCATTCTGCCGTCTATTTGTTTTCTACGGTCTCACCTAAACTGAACCTCACAGACGTCTGTCGGCCAATCAGAGGCCTCCGCTTAGAGCTGAGGAAGATGATGGTGAAGATGAGGACCTTTGCTGTCGGGCTTTTCCTGAAAAAAGGAAACATGAAGCCAGATTTTTCTGTTTTAGATTTAGATTTTTTTGTGTAAATAATAATTTTATTAAATGTAGAATAGTTTTAACCTTCAGTACTTTGCTCTAACATGAACAATATGAACAATTATGTACTTTGGTCATATTATATATATAATAATATATATATATATATATATTATACTTGGTCAGAGAAAGATTTACGTTCAACTCGACGAATATAGAAAAATGAAAGCTTCCAATAATAAATAATTCACTATTGATGATTGATGTATTTGGCTTTAAATTGAGTCTTTTTTTTTTCTGGAAACAAAGAAATGCTTTAAACCGCGAATTGAAATGAGTTACCACAGAAAAACGTGTTTATTTACACCAGTGTTTCTTAAAAGCTCAAATTATTGAAAAAAATATCTGTGATGAAAACAACCTCATTAACCGTTAACTAATTGATCATTATTATAACAACTAATAACTCACAAACTAAAACCTCCGCTCTAAATGTGTGATTGAATGCATTTATCCATAAATAAAAGTTTAGCAGGTAACATCTTCCTGTGACCAAACACGAGCTTGTTAGAAACAAAGCTTTTAGTTTAATCAGATATTTTCTGTGACTGATCATCAGAACGAACACGAGCAATCACCAAAACTATTAAGGTCCTCTCAGGAGGTCCAGAGGGCTTCCTCTCGGAGGTCTTAGGTCTCAGAGCAGTCTGCCTCTGATGAAGAAGTATAAAACCATCGCCGGCTGAAGGTCCAGGTTCTTCATTCAGCTTCATAACAGTAACTCTCAATAGAGGTTTTAATGAAAGGTCGTTCCAAACAAACACGTCCACCGAAGAGAAGATCTGAGGACTGTACGTCTTTGAGTGGAGGACAAAACGAGGCGTTTGAAGGCGTGAACCCTTTACAGACGACACAGCGAATCACTTTAGCTGCTCAGCCTCTGGGATGTGTAGAAAAGGTACAAGTACTTACTGCAGAAAACTACAGCATTAGTAGTACTAGTACTTCAGGAGGACCTTGGGGACTCCGCACGGGAGCAGTGCATGCTGGGAGTTGCTACACCTTGTAGCCATACTCCGTCAGGTAGTCCTTCAGCCTGTTGGGCAGCGGCAGCTCCTCCACCCGCCGGGTCCTGCGGTTGATGGCGACGCGGCAGAGGTGCTGCAGTGGCGGCGTTGCCGTGTACGCCGGCCGGGTGAGCAGCAGCTGCACCGTGCCGTTAGGACGGGGGTCCGACGGCGTCTTGTCCCCTGTCCGGGACAGGTGGACGTAGTGCTCCACCAGGTGGACCACACTGTCAAACTGCCTCAGCTTGGGCTTCACCAGCACCACAGAGTCCAGCTTGAACTTGCCGTGCTTGTACTCGATCCGCAGGTTGGTGGGACCCGCCGACGTCATGGCCGAGATGGTGAACAGGAAGTCCCTCTGCGAGCTGTCTCGCACCAGGAACGTCCCCTCCGACGCGTCCTGCAGAACCTCTTTGGCCTCATTGGCCGTGAGACCGCCCCAGTACCAGCCTGAGGACATCAAGGAACACATGTGAGGCGTTGGGGGCGGGAATGATCGGTATCCATGGAGATGAGCAGAAGGAGCACTTCTATTGGCTGAGAGGTCTGAAAGTTTACAGCTGATGGATCAACACGTTATAATAAATATAAACATCCGATTACTGCTTAGATATTACAGAACCAAATTGTTGACTTTTATACTTTAAAGAGAAATAAGGGAAAGATCTTTTCTTCTTGTTTACTTTGTTGATAAATGTGAATTAATCTCAGTATTAGAGTGACCGATGAGCTGTGATCAGACGTACCCGTGTTCCTCAGGTCCTTCATGGCCGAGGCGATGCGGCTCTCGTCTGACCCCACCGAGGTGGAGGTGCTGTGGGCTCGTCCGTCGCCATCGATGGTGTCCGTGGACTCGGAGGACTGGCAGGTCATTGGACAGGTCCAACCGTCAGCTGCAGGTCCACAGCTCAGACATGGGGCGGGTGGGGGGGCACTGGTCTCTGAAAACAGATGAGACCCATCAAAACGGTCCCATGAAGTTCTTAAAACTCACATCTTTTACATATCCACGGGTCAAAGGTTAAATTCTGCTCTCAAAAGAACATAAACTGGAAACTTTCAGACAATCCTGAGAAAGTCTAAAACGGCACAACTTGACATTTGAACTGTTGACTTAAAATAGTTTTTATATTTTCTTGCATGTTTATGATCCACGTAGAAAAACCGGCTTCAAATGTTTAGTAGAAGTTGGTGTACGGAGATCTTCTCTGTGTAGGCAGATGATGTGATATTATTTATATCATTTATCTGCAGGCTGAAATAAAGGCGCTCACGTGCACCGCGCTCACCTCTTCACCTGTGAGATCAACGTGTAGTAAACAAAGACGTCACACACACACACACCTACCTGGGGTGTCGGAGCTAGCTGCTAACTAGCCGCTAACTAGCCGCCGCGGTGGCCACCGAACGCGACCTGTCGGTAACAGTCCCGGTGTCGGTTCCGTCCGGTTCGCGATTCCTTTTAATGGACGAACCGTCGATAAAAAAAACAAGCGTCCGGTCCCCGGGACGTCACTCACAGCCGGAGCCGACAAACAAACAAACAAACAAACTGGGCTGATTTATCGGAGCTCCGTGCGTGTCTCCCGGTGCCCGGTGCCCGTCCTCCGGTCGCTGATCCTCGGCCTCACCGCCGCCAGCGAGCCGCCGAATGGCCCCGGAGCCCCGTGAGCACAAAGACGCGTTTCCAGGAACTTTCCAGGAACCCGGTCACGTGGTGCAGAGCGCCAGCGATTTAAGGTGGACCGACGCGTGCGCGCACGCACACAGGTGGCACACAGAAGGTACAGGTAGTGCGCGCATGGGAAACTACTTTCACTTATTTAGTCACACGCGGGTTTTTAAAACCCGGATCCTCACTGTGTTTGTACAGAATCAAAGAACGGATACAAATACGCATTAATATAAATATGTACGTGTTTTAAGCAGATTTGTACACCAGCAGACGAAGCACGCGACCTTAAATTGGTAGAACTTTGAATGGAATCTGGCACGAGGCGGCAGTTTCCTCCATTGTTTTCCTAGAAAAACAAAGTCCACGAAGTACCAACACAAAATATATAGAAATAAACACAATACCTCTGAAGACCAACCACATCTATGGTTAAAACTGGAGAAAAATTCAACGGATTTATAACGTATACATTCAACTGTACTTCAGTAAAAGTACTTAAGTAGTTGTAGAACATTAAAGTAGTGCATGCTGGAGTACTCCCTCGGTATGGAGAATACTATTACAATATTGTACTTATTATTGCATTATTGTATTGCATTTTAAATTAGTTGTAGCTCATTCTATTTCCTTTAAATACTGAAGTTTAATCTGTAAAATACTTTGTTTACTACAAAATCAGATAAAAGAAGGACAGTAAAAGACAATATAAATAATATATAAATAAATATAAACCACAATGGGTACCTCTGAGATGTAGTACAATATAAAGTACAATAAGTACTTCTGAGATGTAGTCAAATAAAATGTGCTAAATACATCTGAGGAAAATAACCCAGTAATAAACTACTTCTGGTTGTATTTGTACAGCTGTCTCATTTGGTCAGTGAGGACTAGGTGGAGAGGTTCTAGTTGCTAGGCTGCAGCCTTGTAGCCTGCAGCCTTGTAGCCTGCAGCCTTCGGTGTGGACCTGGTCTCGTCCTTCAACAACCGCACAGGCTGAACTGAGCGCTCTCGGAAACGGGACGGTCTGTCCTACGAGGGGACTTCCTGTTTGCGTCATCAGCTTTACCTCCGCTGCTCAACGCTCTAAAGACAGTGGAGATGGTTGTGGACTTCAGGAGGAACAGAGCCCCACCCTCCCCCATCACCCTGTGTGACTCCCCCGTCACTATCGTGGATTCCTTCCGTTTCCTGGGCTCCATCATCACCCAGGACCTCAAGTGGGAGCAGAACATCAGCTCCATCACCAAGAAGGCTCAGCAGAGGTTGTTCTTCCTGAGGCAGCTGAAGAAACTCAACCTGCCAAAGACGATGATGGTCCACTTCTACACGGCCATCATGGAGTCCGTCCTCTGCTCCTCCATCACCGTCTGGTACGCTGCAGCCACAGCCAAGGACAAGGGCAGGCTGCAGCGTGTCCTCCGCTCTGCAGAGAGGCTGATCGGCTGCAATCTGCCGTCCCTGCAGGACTTGTTCGCTTCCAGGACCCTGAAGCAGCTAAAAAGATGGTAGCCGACCCCTCTCACCTCGGACAAAACCTGTTTGTGCCCCTTCCATCTGACAGGAGGCTGAGGTCCATCAGGACTACGACCTCCCGCCACACCAACAGCTTCTTCCCGTCGGCAGTCGGGCTCATCAACAGAGCCGGTCCCCCACTGACTGACTGTGACATCACACCGGTCACTCCCCCTCATACTGCACACGTCACTTTACTGTCATTTATCACTCGTCACTTTGTCACTTGTTCGATAGTGCACTTTATGTTTAATATTTTTTAACTTTTTAAATACTTTAAATTTTTAACTTAACTTAACTTAACTCTCTTGTTTTATACTAACCCACAGCCTTATTCTACTAACCCATAGCATTAGCATTTCATTTTATTGTATTACTTGTGCACTGCTGTCTTGTTGTCTATTGTCACACTGTCTACCGTCACGCACCAACCAACAAGACAAATTCATTGTATGTTTGACATATTTTGGCAATAAATGTTTTCTGATTCCTGATTCCTGCTCCCGTTGCCCAGCAACCTGCTGCACTTGACAGTAAAAGCCTTAAAAGCCGAAAAACGTATAAAGTACAGATAACAAAGATAGTCTTATTTCATTTAATTTAAGTTTGTGTTGTTTCCGGTTTTAAATTAAAATCAAATCAGTTAAAAGCAATCAGAGGAGGTTCCATCAATAGAGTCAATGAAAGCTATAACAGCAAACACATTTATTAACTTTTTCTTTTTTTCTACTGTTAAATATTACAGAATATGTCCACGCTACCGGAGCTGAATGTCATTACATGGTTCTCCTTCAGCGTGATGCTGCTTCCTCCTGCTCCATGAAACAACTAAACCGCCTCCGTCCTGAATACACTAAATCCTCGTCGGCCCGCACTGCATGCTGGGATATGCTGGGCCGCAAAGGACAGAGGACACATGTGTCCTCCAAACCGGCTCGTGGAGGACAGCGTCCCAGCCGAGTCGCAGAGGAAGTGACGTATGCGGTGTCCTTAAGGATGCAGCCTAGCGACTTTGAGACACGGCTATTATCTCCACCCAGTCCTGGAGACGCCTCGGGACCCCCAGTCAACGCTGGTAGCTGTGAAAGGGACGTTTGGGGTCCCCTGCTGGAACTCTTGCCCCCACAATCTGACCCGGATAAGCGCTTGAAGATGAGATGAGATCCTGCTGAGGCTGCTCCTCATTCGTCAGCCGCATGCATCACTCAACCTAGTTTATGCTTCTGCGTTTTCAGAGAGACGCAAGGACACGCAGATGCAAGAGTCCCCTGCGCGTCCCTTACGTGTCCCTTACGTGTCCCTTGCGTGTCCCTTACGTGTCCCTTACGTGTCCCTTGCGTGTCCCTTGCGTGTCTTTTCACACCTCCTTGCGTGCGTCGACCCATTTTTCTAGACTAGCGTCTAAAGCGACGCAGCGTCCTGCAGCAGCAGGCTGTGATTGGTCTCTGACTACGTCCTTTAGAGTCTCACGTCTCCGTCAGCACAATATGGCCGTTATTAAAAGGAAGCACGTTTACGAGAGAACGGATCAGATCGAAGAGCTTTTAAATATGAGCGCTTGTACAAGCCGTCACTGGCGGACTATGAGGACGCCGGATGGCCTCTGATTCATGGAGGGAGATCTCCACAAACGAGGGGACAAAGTCGTGGAGGACATCAGAAGTTCACTTTTAAATAAGATGTGAGAACAAACTGCTCTTGGTTACTCTCCCTAATGCTGCATCGTCAAATGCAGTTATTAGTGAAAAGTCGCTCTGCGTTATCTTTGACACTTTATATCTTACTGAGGAAGTGACGGTTCATAGTTTATACTTCAGGAATCAGGAAACATTTATTATCATAATATGTCACATACAAGGAATGTGACTTGGCTGTTTGCGCGTAACAGCAGACAGTACGACAATGGACGACAAGACAACAGTGCAAGAGGGATAAAATAAAACATAATGCTATGGGTTAGTTTAAAAGGAAGGAATAAAAGCTAAAAGTTAAAAACAAAGTGCACCAGCGAACAGAAAGAGACAAGTGAAAGTGACGTGTACAGTGTGAAAGAAAGTGACCGGTGGAACGTCAGAGTCCGACTGCCGACGGGAAGAAAGAGGTCTTGGTCCTGATGGACCTCAGCCTCAGATCAACGTTATGAACCTGAAATAACACTTTCTGCCTCCTTCCAGGGACCGCCTGGTTCAGCCTACCAGGTCGTTGGAGGACCCGGCCCACATGGACCAGAAGGCCGGATGCTCCCGAGGACGCAGCCCACCAAATGAGACTCAGCTTCCGCTCCTCTGACGTCAGGCTGTACTCTCTCCGGATCCACAGGCGGCGGTAGGCAGCCTTCTATCCGCCACGAGACGGAGAAGAAGAATCGAACCAGCGAAGAAGAAGCTCGCGCGGGTAGTTTGACTGTTATGCTAACTGCTACATGAGCTAGCAGCGGTTGTGTCTGCGGATCGTTGTCACCACCTCGGTGAGTTCTTCTTTGTCGTTTCGGTTCTGAAGCAGCTTTAACACTTTACTTTTGTCAGTCAGTATTAGAACCGTAAAATAACGTTTTAATTGACGTCATATCTCAGTCGCAGTGTTTGTTTGATTGAACATTTGTAAGTGTCAGTTCGAGATGAACTTCCGTCCAACAGAACAAACGTTGAGATGATAAAAGTTAATCTATTGTGATACTTTCAGGCTTTGACGATTCTTACAATCCGTCATCGTTGTAACGTGACGTAACAGTTGGTGTTTACAGGAAGTGACGTAGGAAATGAAAGTATCAGATTTTGGAAGGATTTACTTTAACTAACCACATCTGCTCAAGGCCTGAAGGGGCCACATGCTGAAGATACACAATAATAATAATGCATTCATTGAGTTCCGTGCAGGTACCCTGCTGATCCCACGCGGGTCTCGTGGGGCAGTCATGGACTTCTCCAAGAGCCGATTCCCTCACCTGATGCAGCCGATCAGAGAGCTCACTAAGAACTGGGAGGTGGACGTGGCGTCAGAGCTCAACGACTATCTAGAGGAGGTGAGACAAGCGCCGGCGAGCAGCGGGCTGATTGGTCAGAAGGATCCGTGGACTAATGTCAGCGGGCGGCGTCTGCTTTTAGCTGGACAACATGAGCATCACGCTGGACGGAGGGGAAACCCGACTGAACTTCGCAGAGGCGGCGCTGCTGATCCAGGGCTCGGCCCACATCTACAGCAAGAAGGTTGGCTGACGCCAGAGAGGAGGCGGGGCTTCGTGCTTGCCTCATTCTAAGGTCATGTGACTCTGTTTCAGGTGGAGCACCTGCACAGTCTGGTGTACCAAACCCTGGAGTTCCTCAACGACAGGAACAACAGGTGAGCTCACCTGACGGGTCAGTCTCTTTAAAAACTAGAATCAACGCCACCTTGTGGAGGACGAGACGTCAAGTCACGTCATATCCTTTGACGTTGTCATGGTGACGGGACATTCCTATTTACGCCATTCAAAGCCCCCACAGACTCTTGCACTCAACCACTGACCAGGTGACCTCAGTTAGTCCTTGAGGGGTCAGGGTCCCGGGGGGCTCTGGGTAATGTAGTTCTTCTTGTCCCCATCAGGAAGAACAAACCGACGTCCTCCCAGGAAAAGGACGGAGCGGCGAGCGGCTCAGACGACGAGGTGAGAAGCGCTTCATCAGTGTTTCCCACAGATCCAACGCCAATGTGTGAGGGCCGACGGGGGCGACAAACACACACCGCTAGATAGAACTATACACAATTCACAGTATGTACAACTCCCATAGCTGTAGTACACACCCTATACTACTTATCTGTGTGTGTGTGAGAGACACGGAGGGAGAGCAGGGAAAGGAAATGCAGCTGAAGATGCTGCATGATTTAAATAGTGTTAAAAAAATAAAAATACACCAAACGCAATCTATGGTGCACCGCCACAAATGAGTCTATATGTGGGAAACACTGCTTCATTGATTGTTGTATTTCAGCCTCGGGCTCATTCAGAATATTCTCCCTCTTCCGCCTCAACATTTCATGCACTACTCCTCCCGCGGCGTTGGACTACACTGTCATCAGTGTACGAATGGGTGAATGATGTCATGTGTTAAAGCGCTTTGAGTGGTCAGACTAGAAAAGTGCTACACAAGTACAGACCTTCTACCACATGCTTCACAATACGTGGAAATGAAATAAATTGTAATGGTGACGTGACGTGTGGCAGCAAAGTGCTGTCCCTTGATATTTACACAATTTAAAGCCCTCACAGACTCTCACTCACACGCTGACCAGGTGACCTCAGTGCATCCCTGGGGGGTCAGGGGTCAGGGTTTAGGGGGGATATTGGGATCAGGCCAAAGTGCCCCCCCCCTTACCTGCACAGGGGATTTAAAAGTAGCTAATTATTGCAGTATTACTCATGGCTGTAAGCTACTCAGTCCTATTGGACCAACATCTTGCACCTCGGCCCCCCTCGGCCCCCCTCGGCCCCTCCCCCTTACTCTCTGCATTCTAGGATATCGTTGAGCCCATGATTCTGTCTTCTTCAGTTCAACCTGATCGACATCGTCGTCTCAAGAAGACCGATGAGGTCCGAATCCACCATGGTGAGTAGTGGTGGGGGAATCAATTTTTTTTCGATTTCTCTCGATTCTCTAGAACGTTTCGGTCTCGATTCAGAAAAGTTAATAGTTAAGTTAGAAAAAAAGTCTGTCTCACGCGAGATATTTGCTCGCTCGCGGAGCGTGAACTTCCTCGCTCGCGAGGTTAGTCTCTGCTCGCGCTCGAAGGTGTTTTCTACGCGCTCGCTGTTGTTCTTTTTGACAGTGAGGGGGCGGAGCCAGTCACCACGGTCTCTACCTGATTGGTTACAAACCCCGTCTGTGGATTGGCTGGAGTGATTCATTCACACAACTATAGAAGCGCATTTCCGCACTGAAGAAAGGGGATAGAAAGTCAAAATTCTGAGATAAAACGTTGTGAAAACACAAACGCCACCTTTATGTAACGTAGTGGAGCGTAGATGACAACCAGCTACAAGCATCATTTACCATCATTACCGGCACATTAAGAGCAACGCGTCCAGCTCGCAGACCGGTCCGTCAGTCTGAGTCTGAATATCTAATAACTTACTGAACTATGGAGGAGCCTGCGCACATCTTACCTCATTATTTACATTTTCCAAATAGTCGATCCGTATTGAAAGTTGGCAAGATATTCACAGATTTGGACTTTTTTCTGGTATTTTACAAATACGGACGGTCTGAGACTAAGAGCAGATTTTTCTTCATTTAAAAGAAAAATGAATCTGTTTAATATTTCTTTTACATCGGCTACTTCATATTGTGTTGAAATAGAAGCTGCATTGGTTCTTGCATTGTTGATAGAAAATCATATTTGTGACAAAGATTTTTTTTCTCTTATAAAAAATTAGAGAAGGTAATTCATCTGTTGACTTTCTTTAATTATCAAATAAAGTAGGAAGTGATTCGCAACCTCTGAGTAGCAAACTCAGATTTCAGAAAATTTAGAAATCGAGATGCATCGATAATCGTTTTATCGGTTTAGAATCGATAATCGGTTTAGAATTGTATCGTTGACCTCGGAATCGAATCGTGAGGTGCCAAGAGGTTCCCACCCCTAATGGTGAGTATATTCCAGACTACCTGGTTATACGGACGTTTATTCCAGACTACCTGGTTGTACGGACGGTTTATTCCAGACTACCTGTTCACACGGACGGTTTATTCCAGACTACCTCTCGGGCGTCTGTAGAGCATCGTGGTGTGTAACTGAGGCCTCTGTTTGACCTTCAGAGCGTGAGCGTTGCTCCTCTTCTTCCCGAGTGTCTGATTCTTCCTGAACTGTCAGAGAGGCTGAAGCTCCCACTCATCAGGTCGGTTTGTAAACCACACAAAGCAGTATTCATGTTGAAGAGGCGTAGTTCATAAGGGTTCTTCTTTCAGTGTTGCGGGGGACATCCTGTGCGGCCAGAAGAACTTCATGATGAACCGCTTTGTCCCAGGAGAGCAGGGCCTGATCCTCCTCCCTTTGGGATCAGGGGCCTCCAGGGTCCAGGGTGGAGATCAGAACCCTGTAGACTTGCAGCAGATAGGTCAGGCTCTGCCTCCCCCGGCTGTGATGTCATGGACACTCTTGTCCCTCAGCTGCTCTAAATGTCTCCTCTTCTTCCAGCTGAGGTAGAAGATGAGGGGAGTGACGCCCCGGTGGGAGATGAGGGAGGTCACTTCTTCGACAACATTGATCTGGACCAGGAGCCTGAGGAGCATGTGGAGCGACACCAGGTGTGGTTTGGTCTTTGCTTCCTTTCGGTCTTTGAGGTTGTTTTCGTCAATGACGTCTTCGAATGTGTCTCAGGTTGAGAGTGAAGGACGGCCCCTCAGACGAGTGGAGGACAGACCCCCGAGAGCGGAGGAGCCCCCTGTACGTCTTCATCGTTTACTTTATGCTCTTTGTTACTAATTTAAAATGACAACTTCACTCCCATGTTACATTTTTATTTTTCATTAGCAATTAACAACATTTCTCAGTTGTTTTACGTTTATCTTATACAAATGTTACTAACTCATTTTGTTCGTTTAGTAAAGAAAGAACTTGAAATATTGTACTTTTCTTTGAATTATCACCCCTAAATATTTTCATAGTTACGTCATGTGACCTTCACCTAATTCTATAAATCTTTTTATATAAATGTGAACAGTAAACTCAGGGTCTCCCTCCCTCGTGTCTCAGCTGTACCCGTGGCTCTTACACGACGCCTACGCCGTGCTGGGGGGGGACGCACCCCTGAAAGCAGCCAAGTGCTACTCCATCCCTGACGGTCTGGACCACGAAGGGAAGAGGAAACGGAGACCAGCTTCTCCGCTGCAGGACTTCTGGAGCTGGTCTGAGAGAGCATGTGAGAGGCGGTTCCACAGGAGGGGGGGGGGTGTTTTTAGGGAATGAAAGCAGTTCATTTGTCTTTCAGTTGAGCCTCTGACGCAGAAGTTAAAGAATGGGCCGTCATGTCCAGGTAACACTCAAATAGTAAATAACTCGTAGAAGTCTTTAAGCCAGTTGTTGACATCATGTTTCCTGTTTTTCAGCCCTGAACTACATTTATGTGACCACGATGGCAGACAGGCTGAGGGCCCAGAGGATGATCAACAAGAGAGCGGTGAGTCCCTCAGTCGCCACCTGGTTTCTATCCACCGTCTCTGGTGTCGATCTGTCAATCAGCATGTAGCCCCGCCCCCTAAAGCGTCCCCTGCTTTCTGGCCTGTTTGACTCCATCAGTCACTAAATGAACATCATGCTGTGTTGAAGAAGACTTGAAACTAGAGACTGAGACTTAAACTCATGTTTACTGAGGGAATAAATCAGGAGAGAAGTAGAGTCATTTCCTCATAGACGTCTATGAATAAAGTTTGTTTGAATTATTGATCATCATCATCAGATGACATCATCCTGAGCAGATCTCCCCTCTGCTGTCGACAGATGAAGCAAATAAATGATATAGCCCTCTATCATTTATTGATATAGAGGGCTATAGCTTACAGAGCGACGTTCTCTAAGTGATTTGTGCCTGCCGATGACCTCAGCGTGTGATGTCACTCAGGGGGTGGTGGTCTCTGACGATGACCTGATGAGAACCTTCCTGGAGCTGGAGCGGGAGGAGGAGGAGCCGGAGCAGCAGGGGGAGGAGCCCGTGGACGGTAAAACCTCCAGACGTACACACACCTTTACCTGGCCGTTACTTTATTAAGATATCTGTGTAAACTCATTTTTAAAAGGTGGATACGACGAGCATGACGAACAGGAAGCGTTTCCAGACGACACACCTGTTGAACCAGACTTGATCTCAGCAGGTAGAGAACACACCTGTAGAAGCAGACTTCATCCCATCAACGTGGTGGTGATGTAATAACTCTTGTCTTCAGGCGCTCAGGGAGACGTGCTGAGTTACGAAGACCTGGTGTTGCTGCGTATGGTGAGCGATCAGTCATCAATAGGATCAGTGCGTCATTGATCCCCACGCTGAGCCCTTTGTCTTGTGGTGCCTTCAGGAGCAGCTGATGGAGAACAGTAAAGGGTGGTCTCAGGACACGGCCCTGTCCCGCAGGGTCCAGGACTGGGAGGACAAGATGCGCCCCCTACTGGTTGAGCAGGTGAGAGCTGCTGGACCAGCCTGTTGATGATTGATGTCCTCATCCACGGCTTGTTATTGTTGTGTTCAGGAGCAGCGCCCTGTGTTCGACATCCATGACTACGGAGATCGAATCGTCTCGGCGCTGCGGGACGTCGGTCAGAGGCGATCTTTCTCCTCCATCGTCTCCGGACTACAAAGCCATGAGGCCAGCAAGTACCTGGTGGCTTCACTGCAGCTGGTAAACAACAACAACCTCAGAGGAACCTGTAGGCTGCCCCCGACTGACGCTCCACACACAAACATCACATCACATGCCATTCAGCTGAGACTTTTATCCAAAGCGACTCACAATAACTGCATTTCAACAAACAAACCAGCGCTAACCGCAAGGTCACGACTCTGACCTGAGGTGTCTCCTGTCCCTCAGGCCAACGACGGCACGGTGGAGGTGGACAGCATCGTGGCTCTGGAGGACAGTTTGGACTCGATGAGACTGACGCTGCTCAGCGCCGAGAAGGCGAGAGACCGGCTCAAGGACATGAAGACCTTCCCCTGAAAACACCTCAATAAACCGCTTTGTATTTAATGCTTGTTTATTCTCCTTTGTCTTTTCAGGAGTTCAGATTGGAGACAAAAGACTAGTCAATGTTAAATAGATAAAATAGATTTTAATAACAGAAAAGTTCAGTTCCCAGAGACATCGTGTGACGGTCCTAGCAGTCCGGGTCCAGCGGCTCGTAGTTCTTGATGTGGTTCCGGACGCTGGCTACGATCTGATCTTGGTCCTTCATGCGGTTGTAGTAGTCCAGGAACAGCCCGTCGGGGCTAACCAGGTAGATGAGGATGGTGTGGTCCACGATGTAGTCCCCGTCCTCGTCCTTGGGCCCGGCGCTGGCATAGACCCGGTAGTCCCGCCCCGCTCGCTTCACCTCCTCCGGCGTGCCCGTCAGCCCGATCAGGCGAGGGTGGAAGTCCCTTACGTAGCGGGCCAGTGCTGGCGGGTCGTCCCTCTCCGGGTCCACGGTGACAAACAGGGGCTGGACGGGCGGCAGCGTGGCGTCCTGGTCCAGCGCCGCCACGGCGCCGCACAGCTTGTCCAGCTCCTCGGGGCAGATGTCTGGGCAGTGTGTGAAGCCGAAGTACAGCAGCACCCAGCGGCCGAGGAAGTCGGCCTTGGTGCGGCGCCTCCCGCTGTGGTCCAACAGGCTGAAGGCGCCCTGACCCAGAGACACCTGCTTCAACTGCTCCACCCGCCGCCGGCGCTGCTGCTGCCGCTTCTCCGAGTCCACCCACCACCAGGCCGCCAGCAGGCCGCCGCCCACCAGCAGGCTGCCTGCCACCCGGGTCCTCAGCGCAGGGCCGGGGGCCCGGGAGAGGAGGCGCCGCAGGGGGCGCTGGGGGTGGACCCACGTCTTCAGAAGTCCTCCTCCACGCACGTTACCCACAATGCAGCGGACCACCAACATGTTGATGCTCCCACTCAAAGTCCTGCACACAGACATTCGGTGTACTAATTAACTATAATTTAAGCGATTCAAAGAGTCCAGATATTTAGTAGTAATGGTCAACTGATGTTGGTTAAGAAAACAATCTAAATATTCTTCCGTTTAAAAAAAAAATGTCTAACACTGAGCAGGAAAGAAATTCACTGACTCGATGACAATTGTTTTTCTGCCTTAAAACCAATAATCCTGTCAAACGGTGGCTGAGAAGTTGACCTTCCATTGGGTGAGTTTATATTATTAATATTAAGTCATTATTAATCGATTTTCTATTTTCAAAGTGACATATTCCGGTTCCATTCGGCATGCCTACGTCATAGCTAGCACACAGCTAACGGTTAGCACACAGCTAACGGTTAGCACACAGCTAACCTTCGCTCACCTTGACCTGCTGCCGTGACGCTAACGTTAGCACACAGCTAACGGGTTTAGCTTCAGTAACATAGAGACTCGTTACCTTCGGTCTCCGGACAGCTTCTGTGGTCAAACACGTAACAGAAACACATGGAGCGTCGTGACATGAAGCTGATCCCAGTTCAGCTGATTCCACACAACCGGAGAGCGGAGCCGGAAGCACTGCGGCAGTAAAAGCACCATTACTACGTTGTAAAAAGTACATTAAAAGTAAAACATGACCTATATATAATTATGATCATATTATTAATCATATATTCACAAAAAAGCAGAAACAAAAGCTACCAGATGAATACAATTTGTAAAATACTATTATACTAAGTAAATGTACTTAGTTATAATCCTGCGCTGCAGACACATGAAAGTAAACCATAATACATATTGAATCATTAGTTTATTATAAAATGTCCTATTAAAAAAAAAAACTTTCTTTCCAATCAACAGATTCTGGTTTCACAACGTGCAGCTCAAATGTGCTTTTGAAGGTCTCCACTAAATAGCCCATAGTTACCATAGTAACCACAGACTGAACATTAGAAGTCGAAATATATTGAACTAAAGACATTTGTTATTTTGACGTTGTTAAATATATGATACATAACATATATAATGATCTCAAATATAACCCCTCAAAGTAACTATCTGATTTTTTTAAATAGTTTTATTATATATATATATATATATAGATATGTGTATATTTTTTTAATAATCACAAAACCGTTATCTTATTAACCCAGTTAAGTTTTCAATCTTATCAAACCAGATGTTTCATAACACTCGTCCTTAGTGGGAGTGGGACCACGCTACAGACGAACAGCAATCAATCAGCTGGTTGACGACAGTCGTCATGGTGACCCGCTGTGTTGTGATGTGCGCGGCGACGCCGCTCTGCGTCACACAGAGGAGCTGAGGAGGAGGAGGAGGAGGAGGAGGAGGAGCTGCAGATAACACATCATAGAGAGCTGCAGCAGACTGAGTTGCACCAACGTCTCAGCTTCAGGTATTTACTGTGTGTGTGTGTGTGTGTGTGTGTGTGTGTGTGTGTGTGTGTGTGTGTGTGTGAAGGTCGTTAGAGACGTTAGAACATGTCAGCGGCTCGTCACTTCTTAAAGGGACAGTTCAGCTTCATGAGCTCACAAGCTGCACAAACGTATCCACATTTACTAATGATCAAGGGTCTATGATCACTGATCAATAATATATGATCACTAAAGCTATGATAATATCTGAAGGTTGCTAAGGGATTCAGAACGCTGCTCACACATTACCTTCATTTACACGTGACGGCAAGTCCAGGTGTGGTTAGCTTAGCTTACGGTATGTAGTAGCCTACATTATACGATGTACCCTGTAATGTAATCCTACCATGTATCCTACTGTACGTTGTTGCCTTGTTGTATCCTACGCAGCATCCTACCATGTATCCTACTGTACGTTGTTGCCTTGTTGCATCCTACGCAGCATCCTACCATGCATCCTACTGTACGTTGTTGCCTTGTTGTATCCTACGCAGCATCCTACCATGTATCCTACAGTACGTTGTTGCCTTGTTGCATCCTACGCAGCATCCCTACCATGTATCCTACTCTACGTTGTTGCCTTGTTGTATCCTACGCAGCATCCTATGTTGTATCCTACGATGTATTTCATGTGGTATTCTACGATGTCTACTTCGTTTGCTCCTAGGATGCACCCTACGTTGTACCCCGCATTGTATCCTACGTTGAATGCTACAATGTACCCTATGCTGTATCCTAAGTTGGTACGTAAGTATCTTACGAAGTAGACATCCAATCAAAGAGCTTCACATAAACAAGGAAGCTTACCAAGCATCCACTAGATTGTGGCTTTGTATCCATAGCAACTGAAGCTGAGGCTCAGGGGTCTTGTACATAGTATTGTACATAACAAATGAACTAATGATGAAAAGACAAAGTAATGGACATTAATCAGTAACCATGTCTCTGTCCCTGCCTGTCTGTCTGTCTGTCTGTCTGTCTGTCTGTCTGTCTGTCTGTCTAGCTATCCGTCGGTCTGTCTCTCTGTCTGTGCGTCTGCAGCCTCGTCATCTGATCAACATGGACGTGTTCCGTCTGCCGCCGGTCATCGAGGAGGTTCTGGATCCGTCAGGTCAGTCCCCGTATTCAAATATATTCATACATCGTATCAATATCTATATAAATACATCATATTAATTAGTAAATAGGTTATATGTACTAATTAAATATGTATAATAATATACATACCTACACATGTGTATAAACACACTAGTTACATAGATGCATTAATACATGATACAAATATATGACTTATACACAAATGAAGAAAGTTACTATTATTACTTATTGATCTCAAATGTACATATTGATTAATAACCACGTATCTATTGATCCGTGTGTGAAAGATGAGCTGTGTGAGATGAAGGCTGTCATGCCCGTGGTAACCAAAGACCAGGAGTCCCTGGAGCAGAAGGAGGTGAAGGAGGAGCAAGCAGCAGGAGGAGAAGAGGAGGAGGAGCTGAGAGGTCAGGTGTTCCAGCTGCTGATGGAGCTGGATGAAACCAGGGAGGTTTCTCAGAGACACGAGGAGGGCTTCCTGGAGCTGCAGGGTGAGAACCTCCTCATGTGCTCCGCTCCTCCTCCTCCACCTCCTCCTCACCTCCTCTTGTCTCCCCTCAGGCCTGTTGGAGGACGAGCGGCTGGTGAGCGCCGAGCAGGCGGAGAGCTTCACCCGACAGATCCACAGACTCCAAGGTTCAGCTTCACCTGGTTCACCAAACACTGAAGGAGTAAAGACTCCTAACTGAACCGACCCCTTCTCCTCTTCTTCCTCCTCCTCCTCCTCCTCTTCGTCCTCTTCCAGCAAAGCTCTGGTCGGTCCAGCAGGAGATGGACAGCCTGGAGGAGGAGAAGGAGAGCGAGCTGGAGAAGGTGCACGAGCAGCTCCGCTGTACTCAGGAGGAGGTGCTGCTGCTCCAGCAGGGCGCCGAGGAGGCAGCGGCTGAGAGGGAGAACGACATCGCCTACCTGCAGGAGGAGCTGTGTCGGCTGAAGGCGGAGCTACAGCGACTCCACGCCAGCACGCAGGAGCACACGGTGGAGGTCACCAAGGGCCTCAACTCAGGTGAGTGAGACACGGGAGACAAAGACAGACGGCAATTAGACACGTAGAAATACAGAGTGAGACTCAGGCAGACAGGTGAGACAAAGACACACAGCTGAGAGAGACGCACAGTAAGTGAGACAGGTGATTGAACTGTGTGTTCAGGGGACAGCGGCCAGCTGGAGGACGGCTTTTTCACGCTAACTGATCGACGTCAACTTCTGCACAAAGACAACAGAGACCTGGACAGCAAAGTGGAGAAACTGCAGCTCGGAGACTGGTGAGTGGGCCAAGCAGCTGTCAATCAACCTGCTGCTATGACATCATCACGTCACTGAGCATGTGTTTAGCCTCCTTCACCGACCTCTGGACAGGTGTGATGATGCGTACCTGGCCGTCTCTGACACTGGACGCGAGCAGGTGAAGACGGGTTCTTACATCACTCTGTCTCAGTCCGGTCCGGAACTCCAAGACCTGGAGGACCCGGACCCCCCGGGGCTCAACGTCCTAGTCCGGCTGAGACGAGCCGAGGAGACGTCTCTCAGAGTCCAGACTGAGGTCAGATATCAGACATAAAACTGAAGTGTCCATTTGTCCTTCAGGATCCATCATTTATTACTGATGAACCGACTGTTTATTTCACACAGCGGACGTCTTTTCCTTTTGTTTTGCATTTATTCCAAACAAGGCAACAAACACGTACAACTTCCTCTGGCTCACCCAGGTGCATGCTGGTCCTGTACCTGGCCACGCCCTTAGATACCCTCCAGGTGCCCACAGTGTCACCCATCAATCAGCAAAGCAAAACTATGGATGCTTCATAACGAGGGAGTATTAAACTAGCCATCTTAATATTATATCGACCTAAAGAATTAAACAACAATATGTACGAATAAATAACTCAAATCAAATGTATATTTCTGGTAAAACAAAGTATGAACAGTGAAAACCAGCTGTGCCTCTAAACGCGTTGGACCCGTCCGTCCTGCTCAGGGAGCTGTTCTCTAGTGCTGAGGAAAGGAGCTTCAGTGCTTCCTTACTTAGCTCCTTTAGGAACCACTGGAAGGAGATGATTCCGTCCCATAATTCTTTGAGGCAGAAATACTTAAATAATCGTTCATGAGCAATGAGGATCATGACGTAGAAACGCAGATCACGTGTTTATATCATTCATTCATATTCATACGCTTTCCTGTGATTGTTTGTGTGTCTGCACGACTCACTGTACACATGAAGCATCTGGCGTCTCCGTCCATCACAACCACGCAGCTCAGTGGTCACTAAACACCGCCTCGTCCTGTCCTAACTCCTCAGCAACTCTCCTAACCACCTTTCCTTGACCCCCTGACCTTCTCCTCAGAGGTCAAGGAATAGTGGTTAGGAATAGATGTTAGGCGGTCATATCATTTACTAGTATACTATATACAGACTAGTATACATCTAGTAAATCGTATATATATATATAGTAGTATACTACAATAGTAGATGTACTAGTACAGGGGTCATTTTCATGTTAAACAGTAATTCGCTGTCAGGTCTTGGAGGTGTGGAGGACAAACACCATGAAATAACCAGCCGACCAGCAAGTAGTGGACAATTGTACCAAAGGAAAAAAAGCCTTGGTGACGGAAAGATGTGAAGAGGGAAGAACACACGTAATCAGGAGAGAATCCATTTTCAAAATAAAACGTAATATGACAATATGGATCGGTACTGGTGGTTGGGGACCCCTGTACTAGTATACCACTATATCGACTGTTCTAGATTAGTGTACCAGTAGAGTAAATATACAGGTTAGCTGGCGACCCGCTAACCTCCTCTACCTGTCTGTCCTCCCGTCAGTGCGACAGCTTGAGAGGCGAGCTGGTGGAGCTGCAGCGGCTGTACGCCAGCAGCCGGCGGGAGCGAGCGTCTAAGGAGGAGGAGCTGCAGCGCTGCAGGGCTGAGCTGCAGGAACTGGGGGATGCAAAGTCGCAGGTGAGAGGTCAGAGGTCAACAGCCTCTATATATAAGGGCTGTCAATAGATTTTAAAAAACCCTAATTAATCGCACAACTCAACATTTCTAATCGCAATTAAACGTTCTAAAGTCGCCCTGTTTGACAAGTGGAGGAATTCCTCTGCTCAGTTCTTCTCTTGGTTTTACTTCCAAAGCAAAAATCTCTCTCCATCTTCAGCTACCGTCTCGCTCTCTGCATCTAACTGACTGCAGCACGCAGCGGCTTCAGGGGTCAGGGGTCAACGCACCCCTGACGCACACATATATATATATATAAATATATATAATGTATGTATGTATGTGTATAGCGAGGGTGCGCCGGGAAACCGAAAGGTTGGCGGTTCAAACCCTGACTGCTCCATGTCGAAGTGTCCCTGAGACGCGACCCTTAACTGCTCGCCGGGCAAAGTGTAAAACAACGGGTTAAAAATGTATAAAAGCGTCAGCTAAACCACCTGTAATGTAATATATGTATACATATGCTTGTATGTGTGCTTTTAAAAAAAAGTATTGGTTTAGGCACCGGTATCGGGGAAAAACCAAAGGATTCCCATCCCTAGTGGAGACCTTTAAAGGACTCGATGTAGAGGTTCTCTGTTGGCGATAAATTGCCAGCTGTCTCCACTTTCACATTTAGATTTTGCATTTCGCCTGCGCTTTTCCCCAAAGTGACTTACAATAAGTGCAATCATCCAGGTACAGACCAAGACAACACACATTTATTTAAGAAATCCAAACTATTAGGTCCTATCAGTGCTATGAGTTAGTCGTAGGTGCTAGTAAAGTGCTACCTAGTCCAGGTGTGGTGGTTAGAGGTGTGCTTTTAGCTGTATGTTCTGCTGTTCCTGAGGAGCTCATTCCACCATCTAGGAGGCAGGACATCAAACAGTCGGTATGTTGTTGAGTGTTATGCTCTCAGTGAGTAAGTAGGGACGTTGGGTTAGACCGGTCCTGGATGTAGACTGGACCTGATCTGTTGACCGCACGGTACGCAAGTACCAATCTTTAGAAAGGGATGCTGGCGGCCACTGGTCACCAGTGAAGGGCGAGGACTGGTTACCAGTGAGGGGAGAGGACCGGTCACCAGTGAAGGGAGAGGACTGGTTACCAGTGAGGGGAGAGGACTGGTCACCAGTGAAGGGAGAGGACCGGTCACCAGTGAAGAGAGAGGACCGGTCACCAGCGAGGGGAGAGGACTGGTCACCAGCGAGGGGAGAGGACTGGTCACCAGCGAGGGGAGAGAACTGGTCACCAGCGAAGGGAGAGGACTGGTCACCAGTGAGGGGAGAGGACCGGTCACCAGCGAGGGGAGAGGACTGGTCACCAGCGAGGGGAGAGGACTGGTCACCAGCAAGGGGAGAGGACTGGTCACCAGTGAGGGGAGAGGACTGGTCACCAGTGAGGGGAGAGGACTGGTCACCAGGGAAGGGAGAGGACTGGTCACCAGGGAAGAGAAAGAACCGGTCACCAGTGAGGGGAGAGGACCGGTCACCAGTGAAGGGAGAGGACCGGTCACCAGCGAAGGGAGAGGACTGGTTACCAGCGAAGGGAGAGGACATGGTTACCAGCGAAGGGAGAGGACTGGTCACCAGTGAAGG